CCCCCCCCCCATGGGGACCCAGAGTGGTTTACGTCATTCCCTTCTCCCCTTGTCACAAAAACTCCCATGAGGTAGGTGAAGCTTGACAGTGTGTGACTGGCCCAAGGTCACCCAGTGAGCTTCCGTGGCACAAATAGGGATTCGAACCTGGGTTTCCCAGGTTGTTGTCCAGCACTTCAAACACTGCTCCTCACCTGCTCGCATGCTGCCTTGAAGGGAAGGGAGAGTTGCCCGTTTCACTGGACAGCCTGGCAGCAGCTCTGCTTCCTGTGGGAGCTGCCGGTGAAGCTGAGCCGAAGAGATGCCAGTAGTCACGCGTACGATGGGAAGAGGAGGGGCCAGGATCAGCAGCGTGGGCACTTCCTCCCACATGGGGCGTCGTGACAGAGGAACCGCCTTGGTGGGACAGGCTGACTTTCATCTGGTTTCTTTGAACTCTACCCTTTAGCCTGAACCCCCAACAGGAATTAAACCCGTGCGTACAGAATGGCCTTTTGTGCATTCTGTGTCATCTCCTGCAGCGTAAGGCATCCAGCGCAGTAGGACTGGGAAGAAGAAAATTCAGTGATGGCGTGAGCAGCAGTCCGAACAGCAAACGGCCTAAGGCAAGGTGTAGTGGGAGGAGTGCAGGGAGTGGGATTGCGAACAGGGCAGTCAAAACAAGGCCCAGAGGAGGTTAGCCGCCTTAGTCTGTTGCTGCAAAATAGTAAAAAGCCCAGTAGCACCTTTAAGACTAACAAACTTTATTGGAGCATAAGCTTTTGAGAGACACAGCTCTCTTCATCAGATGCATGGAGGGTATGAGGGTATGGCCAGTATCTTCATGCCCTTCATCAGGGGACATTTCCTGCAGGAGCGCACAGGAGCAGAGCTCCGGCAGTAAAGAGCCCAGGGGGCGGGTACATGCAACAAGCCCCACCCCCTGCTCCCAGCAGCCCTCAGTCACAGCAAGAAGCAGCCAGGTAAGTTGCAGAGCTCCCCCCCGGCCCAAAACAGTCCAGTGGCACCTTTAAGACCAGGTTTTATTCAGGTACAAGCTCTCCCTTCTCTGCGAGGACAGATCTGCACGTTCCCCCCACCCCCAATAGCTAGCAATCCAAAATAGTCCAGTAGAACCTGAGAGGTGGGTGTTGCCTTCCGACACACTTCCGGTGATGTCAGGGGGTGTAGATTATGCTAATGAGTTATGCTAATGAGCTCTGGCACCGCCTTTTCTACAAAATGACCCCTGCCCTTCATGCATCTGACAAAGAGAGCTGTGTTTCTCGAAAGCTTACGTCACGATAAAGTTTGTAAGAACAAGGCGTCAGCTTTAATAGACGGCAGACCGGAGCCAGCCTCATGATATACAGACATAATTTTTATGTCCATCAGCGTGCCAGATGCAGCGTGCAGGTGCACAGCCAGCTGGTATTTAATGCTTCCAATTGATTTGTTCCCATTAAACAAACGGAATTGTGGCTACGTGCCTCGTTTCCCAAGACTCTCCCCCTAACTTAACCCCACTCCCATGGAGGCATTTGCTGGATACATAATCACTGCTTTGCTCTGTGCGAGTGCTGGGTTATGCATTAGGCCCTGCAGGCAGAGAGAGAGCAGGCCTGCCTCCTTCCTTTCTCCCGCTGCTTCTGTTTGAATTCCTGTAATTGCTTTCTAATTTGTGCCAGGCAGGCTCCTTAGTACTGGCTTTTTTGGCTTCCTGGCAGTCGTCTGGGGAGTGGGGAGTGGCGGGATTTCTGGGACGCATTTTCAGTCCCATTCTTCCGATTCAGCCCACGTGGTCTTTCTTCAGGGAACATCCTTCAGTGTCCTGATTTATCACCTGTGTCGCACACTCTTTACCCAGAAACAGCAGCGCGTGCACCTTGCCTCTGTCATTTGCACAACAGACATTTCGGAATGCCTCTGGCCCGCTGAATAGACCCTGCACTTGAAATAAAATAATTGAAGTTGGGTGCCCCAGCAATCTGGATTGTGCAGCCTGTGTCAGTTATGCAGGTTGTTTCTCCTTGGCCATTGTGCCTGTAGGGACATACCGGCAATCCCTAGGTCCAGTAGAAAGCCTACGATATCTTCGGTTGGAGACGGGCATTGCTCCGTGGATAGCATGCAGAAGATCCCAGGTTCACTCCTTAGCATCTCGGTTTAAAAGGCTTGGGTGATGTGAAAGACCACCGCCTGAGATCCTCCAGAGCTGCTGTCCGTCTGAGTAGACAGTACTGACCTTGGTGGATCAGTGATCTGATGCAGTATAAGGTAGGGCTATTTTGGGGCAGGAACGCACAGGAACGGAGTTCCGCTGGCTCCCGAGTTGGCCACACCCAGCAGGAACTCATTAGCATAATAGGCCACACCCAACAGCAGAAACTCATAAGGATTGACTACATTAGGGGTGTGTGGCCTAACATGCAAAGGAGTTCCTGCTACCAAAAAAGGTTTTGACCACAAACAAGGTCCACAGAATAAGAAGCAAAAGGTGGGTGTGGCGGAATGACCACACCGCTGGTAACATGGGGGTGTGGCCTAACATGCCAATGAGCTGTGCTATCAGGGGTGTGGCCTAATATGCTAAGGAGTTTCTGCTGTTGGGTGTGGCCTGTTATGCTAATAAGTTCCTGCTGGGGTTTTTCTACCAAAAAAGCCCTGAGTATAAGGCAGGTTCAAGTGCTCATTGATAGTGCCATAAGTTATGATCATTTTCTTTGGCAGCTAGGAGTCTTTCCCCACGGACATCTTACAGGCTCATAGGCTTTATTATCTACATTTGTATCTTGTGTGTGTGTGTACACGAGCGCGCGTGCGCACACACACACACACACACACACACACACTTATTCTGAAAACTTTAGACCCTTACAAAAACAGCTTGCTGATTCTGCTGCTTTTTTTCCTTCAACTGATAGCTTGACCGTCCCAGACTAACAGTTGTATGTTGGAAAGACAGGAAGAACTCCCTTGTATGGGCCAACATAACTTACCCCCGTGGTCTCTCTTCTCTCCTTCCTGTACCCAAAGATCTGAACAAAGCATGTGGGAATGCGATTGACGCCCACGAAGCCGCACAGATGCACCAGAACTTCTCTCAGCAGCTGCTCCAAGACCACATCGAGGCTTGTAGCCTCCCAGAGCACAACCTTATCACGGTACGTTGACATTTGGGTCACGGTGGGGGGCTCCTTTTGTTTCCACACCTCCCTGTGTTGCATCATCACCAATGCTCCCTCTAAGCTGTGGAGTCCTGTGAGCAAAAAGTCTACTTTGTGAGCTACTGGCATTAAAGTTGTGAGCAGGTGATTTGGCTACTGCATAAATTAGTTTGCTCTTCAGCCCTCCTTCCTGAGCTAAGACAAAAGTGTGTCAGCCGGAGGCTAAAAAACTGTGAGCTTGCTCACACTAACTCAGCTTAGAGGGAACACTGATCACCACCCCGATCCAAAGATACTCGCCTGCTCACCACAGCAGCCTGCATATGAGTGCCTGTGAGCGTATGGATGCATGCTACTTGCTCGCTGTTCTGCAGGGATGGCTGCCTGTTGGTTGGGAAAGAGAATACGTCTTGAGTTCAACATTTTATTTTATTTTTTTTAGAAATACTGAGAATCAGTGCTTTTTTCCTGGGGGAATGGGGTGGAACGGAGTTCCAGAACCTCTTTCTGGAAACAAAATTCTCAGAAAATGTTTAAAAGTTCATGATGTTGTTTCAAAGAATCCCATGTGTTTCTCTTTCATTTTCCTCTTGAGAGTCCCGGCACCTCTTTTCCCAGAAAAAAAAACCCTGCTTAAAATACTAAAAAGAGGCATTTTAACAGGATTCCACCTTGCTCTTGTTTATTAGTCTCGTAATTTCTTGCTCTGTTTTGTAAAAGATTTCCTTGCCTCTTTCAGGGATCCTTTTAGAGGGTCTCTGGATTTTGAGTTGAAATAGTCCTTATTTTGTGCCTTTTGACTATGTTGAGGGCAATTGCTGTGTCTGGGAAATGAGGTCTCATGTCTTAATGACACCTGGGCCCATTGTACTTGCTTTCCATAAAGAAACAGTTCAGGTATTTTACAGTGTGGGCTGCTAAATGAATGAAGTACAGATGTTGATTGGAAAAGTCACCAAATAGGATTTTTTTTCTCTGCTTGTTTTCCCCCCTCTCCATCACCAGTGGACAGATGGACCGCCTCCCGTACAGTTTCAGGCGCAAAACGGACCCACGACCAGCCTGGCCAGCCTGTTGTGAAAGAGCGACACGTTGCCCGAAAAGAAGACAGCTTTCCTTAACACTGAGCTTTTTTTATACGTCGGATGGGCTGCAGATCCCTCCTCTAGTGGGGTTTCTCTAGGATTCCTCCTCCAGAACCTTGCAGGAGATGTGCTTGGGAGCCCATTTCAGAGACTCGCCAGTGTGATGCAGGCATTTGGAACTCTTCAGATTTCTGCGTGGGAGTGTTATCACTTGGGTTGTGTGTGTGTGTTGGCATGTAGCATTGTGAGAGGTGGGCGGGCAGCTTTCAGTGCATCCCCCTCCCTGTTGCTCAGAATTAGGTTTTACATTATTCCGAGACAGAGCTCCTTCAGTTGGGCTGGATCTTAGCATTATTTTTTTAAATAAAGGAAATACACCCTCTTATAATGAAGGAAAAGGCCCAGCATTGGTAGAAAGAAGGTGTTTAAAAAAAAAAAAAAAGCCCAAACTTCCTTCTTGTGAATTAAAACCATCCCTGAAAATCCCACATTGTTCTTTTAACTTGTGCTGTGTTGCCCTGATTGTGCCTGAAGGTGTTAGATTGTTTTTTCCCGATGAAGCTCGCGTTGGAGAAGGTCCCACGGTTGGTGGCCATTCCACGTTACTAATGCAGGCTGCATGCTCACTGTCCATGTAGCTGTGGCTGCCTCTCACATGGGATTTGGTGCCGTGGGCCTGTTGTGCACGTTTTGAAAAGACCAGCACATGAAGGGCAGAAAGACAGCAGCGCATACTTCTGTGCGGTGCTTTAAACAGTCTTCATACTCCATCTTGGAGGGCAGTGGCCGGAATCCGGAGAGACTTCAGGATAGTCTGAGCTCTTCCCATAACCCTGGGTTTAACCTCCTTTAGCTCCCCAGAAGGATACATCTAATCCCTTCTGTTTTCTAAAACAGTTTTTTGTTCAGCCTCGCTTGCTTGCGAATCTGCGTTAGAGGACTTTCCCCATTTCCCTGTTCTCGAATGTAAAAAAATCACTTTCCTGTTCTCTAATGTAATTGTCTCCCATGGCAAGCAGTGCCACTTTCCCAGACCGATGAACACCGAATTTACAAGTGGACCTCTGGGCTTATCTGGTGTTTGCTTACAGTAAGGGCTTCTGGGAGAAAGTGCTCCCGAATGCAGAGCTGAGCTTCCTTGAAAGTCTGTGCGTTTTATTAAGTCCTTATCGTCGTGAGGATGTGCTCGAAAGGTCTTGGCAACACTGCCCTGAAGTCTCGGGAGCCAGTGGAGGGACTGTCAAAGATGGATCAAGGTGGGCTCTGGTGTCCAGTCGTGCTCCTTGCCTCTTCCTCATAACCCAGCACGGTAAAAATGGCGGGCAGTCGCACGCAAGCCGAGGAAGAAATGCTGGTGTATTCCATTTGCATAGATTTCCATTAAAGAATTCAGCTTTTTTTGGGAGGGGGGGGGAGTAAAATGTTAAAAAAAATGTTCACGGAGTGGAGACGTAGCCTTGCTTACTGGTTTTAATTGCGTTCCTAATTATGAATTAGCACTACGACAGTTGATCATGTGAAAACGGTTAGCCTCTTGCTGAACGGGAAGATTGGTTTTGCTGCCACCTCTCCCCCTCTCCCCTCGTGAAATTGGTCCAGGAGAAACCAGCTTTGCGGCGCATGGAGAGAATACCTGGGGAGAAACGGGAAGGAATTGTGGGGAGCGCAGGTATGGGGGAGGATCCAGAGGTGAGAATCCCTTGCCTTTAGACCCCTCCCCAGGATGACTGAGCTTTGATTGGAATATATGCTAGTATAGATCATGTTCATTCACAAACACAGCAATAATGCGGCAGCTGCTGGATACACCCCAGTCGGAAGCAATTAACGGTCTTTCGATCACGCCAGTGCTGACAGGAATTTCTTACCCTTGGAAGAGAGACAAAAGTGTAATAATAGTTCATACAATGAGTTGTCCTTTGACAGTCCTTGACCGGTGGGCCGGCCAGCCCTAACACCGACAGACGCAGGCACAAAAGTATGGCTCCATTACAAAGCCAGTGGAAGCGTACAGGTCCTCCCGGTCACCCTCTGGTGAGCTGGATGCAGGGCTGCTCTCTTCTCCGTCACCTAGGACAGCGGTCTTCAACCTCTCCAGGCACCCTGGAGCTTGCGTGTGCCTCACGGAAAGAGATGTGACATCGGTTTCCCTGCATGAGAAGAGTGGCGGCTGGAATCATTACGACCTTGCCAGTTTTCAGGCCCCTGGACCAAGAGAGCGGGGTGTCAGGAGAGAACGAGGAGGCATACAAGGGACAAGGCACGGATCAGAGCCATGGAGGAATCTCGTCCACCAGGTCATCTCCCTTTGCCGTTCTGCCGCCGCTCACCGTGTGCGGGCAAAAAGAAGGAAAAAGCCAGTGGCGCCTTTGCTCCTGTTAGCAAGCAAGGCCTTCTGAAAGGCAGCCTCACCTGTACAGGCATGCAATCTGATAGGTAGGGCTCTGGGTCCCCACACGCGGGTTGAAGAACACTGTGCCACGGCAGAGGAGGGGAGGGTCTTGTTTTTCTTGTGAGGAGAGAGGTCCGGCCTGGGCTGGATAGGAAGGTGCCCTCCCAGCCTTTTCTCTTTTCTGTGTAGCAGTGGTCAAAAGATACAGGCCCAGCCTGCTCCACTGGTCCAGTCTGGTACTGTTCGGACTTAAATTGTTTACCTTGCAAATGAAACTGGGAAACTGCCCCCCCCCCCCCATTACCTTGGCCAGAGAAATGGGATAGAATCTTGTGGGCCAGATCAAGCTGCCTTTGTGGCTCACAGGCCATCCCTGCCACCATGCATCTCCTGGTTGCCTTCCCATCCCGAGTTCTTTTTCTCCCCAGCCTCTCTCCCTCCCTCCCCCTCGAAAGCCTCATTTCTGTGTGGGTGGATGAGTGTAAGGTGGGGTGTGTTTTTTTTGCACTGTCTGAATGTGGCATCTGCCTGTTTGGCCAAGACCACCTGCTTCAACACTTCCTTGGCTTGTGAAATTCTCCTATTATGAAACGGCTCTTTTTATTAATGTACTTTTTAAAAAATTGTGTACTTCGGTAAATTTGTACAGTTTGTCTTTTAGCCTTTTCAATAAGCATTTAGTCTTTTCCTATAGATAATTCTGCAAACATAAAAAAAAGTTGCATAGGGATTGGTTATTTGTCTTTATTTTAGAATCCGAAGTGCTTTTCGGTAATCGAGGGGAGAAAGATCTCAGCTTGGCGTTTGGGGGTGAATATTTTTTTTGTGTGTGATTATGCCACTGTTCCAAGGAAGTGCAGAAAAGATGCAAAACGTGGCAATAGTCACAGCACTCAACTTCCCAAGAACCTGTTCAGCCGTGTTGTTTAAAAAGCAAGTTGCTAGGCCCTGTGGTGGCAAAGTTTAAATGGAAAGTTTTGCAAGCGTTGCTGGCAAAATGTAAGATCCAAACAGAAGAAGAAGAGATTGGATTTATACCCCGCCCTTCACTACCCAAGGGAGTCTCAGAGCGGCTTACAAACTCCTTTCCCTCCCCCTCCCCACAACAGACACCCTGTGAGGTAGGTGGGGCTGAGAGAGCTCTTGACAGAAACTGCTCTTTTTTCAAGAACAGCGCTTATCAGAACTACGGCTTGCCCAAGGTCATCAAGCAGGTGCAAGTGGAGGAGCGGGGAATCAAACCCGGTTCTCCCAGATTAGAGTCTGCGCACTTAACCACTACACCAAACTGCCTGAACGGTTCCTGCATCCAAGGTGTTAGGGCTGCATAGCTCCTTGATTGTTCCTCCAAATGGAATTTTCGAGAGAAATTATGCACATGTACTTAACTTATGCAGAGAGCAAATTTTGGTTCCTTGGCAAAAAAAACCACCCAGAGGTGTCGAACATTTGTTACGGGGGTCGGATCTGACATGATGTCACTTTGTTGGGTCAGGCCATGTGTGCCATAAAACGTAATGCCAGGTATGGGAGACATAAGGACAGCAGCTGGTAAGCTCCGAGTTGGAGTGTCCTCACTGCAAGGCCCCGTGGGCTGGGAGGGGTGTGCAAAGGAAAACCCAGCAGTGCCGCACTGGGCAGACACTCCCACACTGCTTGCCTTGCCGTTCTGCTGCCGCTCACCGTGTGCGGGCAGAAAGAAGGAAAAAGCCAGTGGTGCCTTTGCTCCTGTTAGCAAGCAAGGCCATCCAAAAGGCAGCCTCAAAAAGTCTCACCTGTACAGGCACGCAATCTGACAGGTAGGGTTCTGGGTCCCCACACATGGGTTGAAGAACACTGTGCCGCAGCAGAAGAGGGGAGGGTCTTCTTTTTCTTGTGAGGAGGTCTGGCCTGGATAGGATGGTGCCCTCCCAGCCTTTTCTCTTTTCTGTCCAGTTGGAGTGGCCCCGCCCACTCCCCTGAGCAGTCTCCTGTTCCCTCCCGTGCAGTAGTTGCTTGCGGGCTGTGTAAGAGCCCTGGAGCCTTATGTTTGATACCCCTGCTGTGGACTACAGGGGAGAGAATTTTTGATTCTAATGGAGACTGCATGCTAACTCTGAGAAATAAACCATGGAAAACGAGTAGAGGGGAGGAATATACCTCTTACACACTGCTTATGTCCCTGTGTGGTATTGCAGGGCCTGGTTTTATAGAAGATATGACCTTTTCCGCCGTGAAGTGACAGGCCCCCCCATCTTTGTTTTCCGTACCCTCACTTTCACCAAGTCATCTCACCGTCTGGGACACCATACTGTAGATTTGAGAGGATGCATACTGGAGGGAAATTATCCCAGAGAAGAGTATCTAGTGCAGTGGTAGCAAACCTATGGCACGGGGGCCAGAGATGGCACTCAGAGCCCTCTCGGTGGGCACGCGTGCCATCGCCCCTGCCAGGCCCAGACCATCATTAAAGTGTCGAATTCTCTGCCAAATAATTTTAAGTAAATGAAAGCATTTGAGATTGCTTTCCTTACTTTGTTTGGATCATCTTAATGTATGAGTTGTTTTTTCTAAAGTAAAACCTCAGTATTCAGGTTAAATTGCCGTGTTGGCACTTTGCGATAAA